ATAAACGAATACATAGAAGGACAGTGAGAAGTATCTGCGTGTGCAAACGCGAATAAGAACCCTGACTGATATTTAAGTGCCCGTTTTGCAATAATGCCCTTTTTTTATTGATTTTACTCTTTGGCCCCGTAAATTACTTTACCAGTGTCTGGCTCCTTTATGGCTTTCCCAATCGCCTTCTTTTATTGTTTACCCTTTTTTTTTGGGATAATTTCAAAAAATCTATGAGGTTTCTCGTAATATCATTCAGCTCCTTGAGGCTTGTAAAATTTTGCTTACCTCCTCTGTGAGTTTGACGAGACTAAATATTCTTATCAAATGTCATAAATTGACAATAACACCTTTGCTCTTAATAACTATTTAACCAAAAAGTCAAAAAGTAAAATTGTTAAACCAAAAAATGTAGATTAAAACAAAAAATGAATTGTTATCTAATAATGGTCTATATTTCTCTATATAGAGATCGTGGTGGGACAGCAAAAGATGTGGATAAATTAAATCTATTTAGAATCAACCATTCAGGAGGATTTTGGTGAGTAATTAATACCTTGAAAACTTTCATAGATAGTTATACGAAAGTCAAGAAATTTTTTGGGGAAATACATTTTAATACATGATGTAGTTTAAGTTATGTTAAAAATTAAAAAAACTGAAGACTTGGGCCACAATCATGTTTATTTACTCTACTGCTGCTTTCAAGTTAAGATGAACTAATTGACTAGTAACAATTGGTCAATTAGGAATGTTATTCGACCACAACAATGAAGGTTACACATCTCATATTTGCGCAAGAAATATTTTCAAATATTGCATGAAGTGGCTAAAAATGTTATCTACTAGAGTGTGGGTCTATTAATTGCTGGGGATCAGTTAAGTGAAAATCACATGTTGAGAGTTCATAATTCAATTCCAAAATTTCCATACTTGGCAAAAGCCTGAAATGTAACTGTTTGGCCATCTCAAAAATGGACAGAGGCCATTTGCGGCCACTGAAAAGTCTGCCACCATGTTAAAATGCTGAACCAAACAGACTACTTGTAAGTTGCAACCACAGCTAAATCAGCAATAATTCCAATATCATACACCAGCAATTTTACACAAACCAGACATCTGTTAAGCCAATTCCCCTGGTGGCCCATCCGTATCCCAAAATCCCATTAAGGGTCAGCACAAAATATCAAGTATGAAAACCAATTTTGAAGGAAAATATAATAATGTTCCTCCTCTACCTAGCAAGGAAAGTTTCATTCTTTTGAATATTCAAGAACAACATCTTCAGAATGGCAGTTGTTTCTCTATCAAAGCGAAAAACTGGCAATAGAACTTTGATAACAGTTCAATGAAAGCATACAAAACTCGGTGAAAATCTACTCCATAACAGCAATTCCTCCTACAGCCTTGATTTTCTCTATAATATCATTTGCCTCTTCTTTAGTGATACCTTGCTTAATTAAAACTGGTACTTACTCAACTAAATCTTTGGTTTCCTTCAACCCCAAATTTGTGAAAGCACGAACCTCTTTGATCACCTTAATTTTTGCAGCAGCATCAAACTTTTCTAACTTGACATCAAATGCAGTTTTTTCAACCTTTTTCTCCTCAGCCTTTGAAGACCAGCACCAGACCCTCCCTGAGGACCCAAGTCCATGCCCTCCACTAAAACTGGTTGAATCTTCGGATGTCTTAGTCTGTCTCTAAGCGTGGGACCAATCAAATTACGCTCTTCAGGAGACAGGGCTGCAATATGTTCTGCAAGCCGAATGATCTTATATGAAGGTGGGGGTCTAGGGCCATAAGGATGATAGAAAGCAGGATACTTGTGTCTTACGGGCTTTGATTCGGGATCCCTGGGAATGAAATCAGGCTGAAATGCACGAGACTGTAGAGGGCCAGTAACCACACGAAGAGCGGGATAGCTACGCAAGGATTTGAAAACTACAGAAAGCTTCATGGTTTGAAGATAGTTACAAAAAAATAAACACTGAAGGATGATTTCTGGTGAAGCAGTGCCCTTTGGCACTTGTAGTACTAAATGCAGCAAATGAATGTAATCCTTCCTTCCTGTGTAGAAGCTTCACATCCTATTTCCAGTGAGCTTCTCACCTTAAGAAGAGAAATGGGGAAGATGTCAGTCTCATTCATATTTTCAGGGACTATCATCTCATTCTGGAATATGGAAATCCTACTGGTATAAGAAGACTAATCAACAATATGACATCCAGTATTGCAAGCCGTTTACAACTCATAAATTTTCAGTCCACCAATCTGATGCCATTGGCTACCATGCTTGATAAATATCTTTTGCATGAATGTGCTTTGGGAGAGAAGACCACACGCAAGAATGTTTTGGTAAATGGTAGCATTCTAGGAATTGACTTCCATGCATATACCCAGAGCATGGCAGACTAGGCATACAACAAATCAATACTAAGCAACGTTTTTTTGGATTAAGTTTGGTATTAGGCTGCATTCTTACTTGCAATCAAATATTACAAAGGAACAATCTTTAAAGAGAGTGGTCGACTTATGGAATGAACCTAACCCTTATGAAAAGCTAATGTGCAAAATATACCAATCGATTCAATATTGAGTACCCTTGCAAGATTTTCTTGTTCAAAATCCAAAATATCCAATGTCTCAATAGATCAAAGGAGAAAGAAAAACTAGGAAAGGCATTCGAGGGCTTAAGTAAGGAACAAATGCAAGTACTTTCGGATTATTTTCATTCATAGTTCACTCATATGCAAAAGAAACCTTAACAGCCAACTTAGGGAACAAATTTTGCATCCATCTTCATTCGGGTTTCAGACCAGTTCCAGCCAAAAAATAAAATAAAATAACTCAAGCGCCAGAACTGACAATTTCATTGAACTTCAATAGGTCTAAACACAAAATAAAATCCAATCACCAGAAACAAATTGTTATGACAAAATATAAACTTTATGGAGAAAAGCTAACCACCAAGAAATAAAGAACTCCTGAGAGACACAATAAGGCATTAGCAACGAAAGGTTCACAAGCTACAATCAAGATCAAGAAATTAAAACATAAATAAATCATCCATTTAACAGGGGGAAAAAAAGCCTTCATAGCTAAATAAACAAACAAATGAACTTACCAATTTTTTGTTGATGTTGTGGGTTGCATAAACGAATACAGAGAAGGACAGTGAGAAGTATCTGCGTGTGCAAACGCGAATAAGAACCCTGACGGATATTTAAGTGCCCGTTTTGCAATAATGCCCTTTTTTTATTGATTTTACTCTTTGGCCCCATAAATTATTTTACCAGTGTCTAGCTCCTTTATGGCTTTCCCAATCGCCTTCTTTTATTGTTTACCCTTTTTTTTTTGGGATAATTTCAAAAAATCTATGAGGTTTCTCGTAATATCATTCAGCTCCTTGAGGTTTGTAAAATTTTGCTTACCTCCTCTGTGAGTTTGACGAGACTAAATATTCTTATCAAATGTCATAAATTGACAATAACACCTTTGCTCTTAATAACTATTTAACCAAAAAGTCAAAAAGTAAAATTGTTAAACCAAAAAATGTAGATTAAAACAAAAAATGAATTGTTATATAATAATGGTCTATATTTCTCTATATAGAGATCGTGGTGGGACAGCAAAAGATGTGGATAAATTAAATCTATTTAGAATCAACCATTCAGGGGGATTTTGGTGAGTAATTAATACCTTGAAAACTTTCATAGATAGTTATACGAAAGTCAAGAAATTTTTTGGGGAAATACATTTTAATACATGATGTAGTTTAAGTTATGTTAAAAATTAAAATAATCTCTTCATATGTGTGAATTCTTCAAGGTGTAAATTTTGCTTTGTTCCAAAACAACTAGTTTAAGTTAAAAAATTTACAACTTATAAAAAGTTAACCTTATTTTATTTTTTATTGTTGTTGTAAACTTTATAAATTAAATTGTTGTTGTAAACTAAAATAAAAGTATTATCTTTCTTGCATTTCCTCAAAGGGGCTAAAATGCTACAATGAATGTCAATTCAAAGGAGTTAAGTGAGATTTTAAAGACATCAGGAGAGCTGAGTGATATTATGAGAAACCTCAAGATAGGTTTCTGAAATTATCCCTAGTAATAGTTATTTAGGGAAATGAAAAAGGGAAAGAGAACCCGAGAATGAATTAGTATGTTTTATTATTATTTTTTTGAATTACTTTACATGTTTTATTACTTTTTTTCGAATTTCTTTATTTATTGTCTTTTTTTAACTTAATAATAAGAGATGACCCCCAGATGAGAAGTTCAAGAATTTGGCCCATATTTCTAATTAACAATTTAAGGTAGTATCTAGTACCTCAATTTTATTACTCACAATGCCTCATCTCTTTCATGTCCAATTTCGTGTTCTTTTTTGCTTAATCCATTTTTCCTATCTTTTTTTGTTTGTAAATATGTCGATAGCTAAATGAGAGTGTGCTACTTGTCGTTTTCTTTCTTATTTTGTGCACCAAGGTAGGAGGTAAAGTAGTACCCAACTGTTAATTTTGTGCTTAGACTTCTTGCTATTTAATAATTGATGATGATCATAGAGCAATGGAATAAGAATTAGTACATGTAAACAATCTTAACCACTCAGAAGATCAACTAAGGCACTAACGTCGAAAATGGCAAATCAATAAATGAATCAAAGCCATCCACTACCTTGAGAGCTTTGTCTTTCTTTTTTCAGCTTTTACATGGAAATGGCACCCTTCGGGCATCTGCCATCTTTGGTAAGGACCACCACGCTTGGACCACAAAGAGTAGTACAATAAGAGAATTGCAATAGTTGGAATTTATTACTGATTCTGATGAAGGTTGGAATGTATTACAATAGAGTAGTACAACAAGTATAAGTAATGGTTGGAATGTGTAACTGGTGTTTGGATTGCAAATTTATCTCAAATAATATTTCGCTTGCATCATAAACACATTTTTCAATCCACCTTTTTTATATTTTCAACTAATTTTTATCTCACATACATCACATCACAAAAAGTGCTACATTAATTATTTTAAATAATATTTCAAATGATACTCTATCCAAATACACTAGACACACTCAGTATTCAAATAATTATTCCAAGGTTTGCAGCAGGAATATTTTATGTGGCATAACATTAATCTAGGCTACTTGCGAGCTATCCCATAAACCTGAGGATTTGCTATTGAGGCAGAAGACACAAATGCCCGCTGAAGTTCAACAGATGAGAAGACTGCTTTAGCAATAACTTCTCCAGTTTTTCTAGTGAAGTGACAGCCATCAGCAACAAACTGCTGCAAAGGATCAAGAATCCCTTGGAAAAATCTCCGAATTGTTCCATCTGCCAGCAAAACAGACAAATCAAGGCTTTGACGTTATAATTCAGTTAGATGGAGGTGGCGGAGAAGTTAACATGAAATAAAAGCTTTCATTATCGCAAATAGGAAGTACATCTTTATTACCTTCTGCTGCTACGTGTTCCACAAACACACAGAGCCCACCTGGCTTTAGCACCCTCATAATCTCTGAAAACAATTACTAGAATGTGTATTAGCCCCTGCTATCTTCTTTTCCACTCGATATACACTGAGCAGTACAAACCTAGCCACTGAGGCGTATATGACATGTTCTTCCAACAAGAAGTAGACCATTCATATTTTCTTAAGAAAAACCTTTAGATGCTGCATGCTAAAATTGTAAATTTTATCTACCAAAGTTTGAGTGTCTCATACAGGAATTAACCTACCTTGCAGCGCCAAGTCAACATCTTTGACAGAACATAGGACAAGTGTGGCCACTACAGCATCCACAGATGCATCACCAAGGGGCAGAGCCTCAGCAACCTGCACAATTCAATGGTCAGACACTCCCATTGCAAAATTAACTCCGAGGGATAAATGAGCTTCAAATGAGCTGTGACTAATAAGTCTGCAACAACAGACGGAAGAGGCATCTAAAGTGGATCGTTGACCAATATCAACACCAAGAAAATCCTAAGCTCAAGCCAAAAGCATTTGACAGGAACTATATGCAACTGCCTAATCTCAAACAGACAGAGCAGATATCTTGGCATCTGATGTCCAAGATATAACTTAAATGAAGGAAAGAAGCTTTCATAAATGAAGCAACTGGGTAAATAAGGTAAGACAGGAAAAGCTCATAAACGAGGCATAAAAATCATCATTTCTTGCACCATAAGATTAGGTATGTGCACCAGTCATATCAACTTTAGATGAAAACCAAGCATGCTATCGACATACACAAATTAGCTTTTGGCTGTGGCCTTCTGAAAACCAAAATTCAGCTTTCAAACAGTTAATCAGCCATGCAAAGATACTGTTATCTTGCAGACATGAAAAAGACATCGCTAATAGAAGCCATCTGATTCACCATAGACAGGCTCATACTGCTTGTGTAAATTTAAAGTGAACTACGCCTTTCTGGTGGCTGCCGTGCATTTGCTACTGGTGGTAATAGAGGTTTTTGCGAAGAAGGGAGTACTTCAGGAGTGTATCTTCTTGTTAATGAAGAAGAGATAAATGAGCTGCCTAAACGTGATAACGTAGGCGTCCCCAGGAAGTTAAGACTTGGAGATGGTACACTGCTGTATAAATCGATGGACTGCCTGATACAAGGATATGAGATACCAAGCATTATCAACCAGAGTTTGAACACAGTCCAAGTGAGATGACTAATGTAACCATTTCTCAAATATATAATCCAGTTGTGCAAGTTTAAAACAAATTAACAAAGAACCATTGGAATTGATTCTAAATCTTAAAAGCTAAGAGCCAAATTATTTGCAGCTGGTAGAATTGCACATGAGGGAGTGATGGTTGTACTCTTGATCAAACCAGTATGTTTTATCCTCTCCAAAAACAACTGAAAACTGATGCAAATAAGAAACGCTGGTACATGATTGGAGGAGGAGAGTGGATCTCTGGCACTTATTTCAATCAAAATATCTAGCAGACGGTCTAAAAGTTGGTATAGTTCTGGCCAGATGTTATGACACACCAAAGTTATGGAAATTGGTTCAGTCTAAAGCCCATGAAATGAATACTCTGGATGTGGTTTGGAAACTTCTCTTCCAGAATCAGCGGTTCGATGAAAGGTAATATCCAAAATATGGTTTCTACCATTGATAAATGTAGTAACGACAAATACAACTCCTTCACTTCCAAAGATGGTTCACAGGGATTAACCACCAGTCCCTCATGACGAAGGAAAATCTTTTCAATAGAGGCAGTAGTCAGCAATATAAGTGCATCCTACCAAGTTCCGCTAAGCTGAAGAAGGATCCAGGGAAGACATAAAATGCTCTGGCCTTTTGATAACATTACATAGCCTACCTTAAGCCCATAGCTATCCTTTACTGATGTTACTGGATCCATTCAAACTCATAAACTATTGATATTCATGGCCGAAACAGAATGAAAATACTTGAAGAAGCTCCAAAATATGAATGATGAAAGCATTTCAATCCCATTTCTAAATATCTCTCCTAGCCAAAAATGAATAGGTAAAGCTAAACATCCGGTACCATATAAATATAACAGCTTTCAAGAAACCAAGTGCTTCACTGCTAAATACAGAATCTGCAGAACAAGAACAGAACAAACGTAGAGAACACCATAGCTAGATGTAGAAAGAAACAAATATAGATATGTGCGATAAGATGATACCACCTGTAAATTTGAGGCCAAGAGGTGGTGATAGATTTGCTCTCCGGCCTTTCGTCCTCATTATCATTAGAATAACTGCTAGAATCAGAATTATTTCCATCTTCACTATCTTCTTTCTCCAGTGCCTAAAATCAGTGCTAGCTGCAAAAAAGCTAAGCTCTTCAGAAGCCTAAAATCAGAACAAAATTCGCTTAGCATCAGAGGCAGCAACTAAAGTACAGAACAAAAGAGAGGGTTGCCCCTCTAGAATTCAACACTTCTCTCTGTAACATTATTCAGCAATATAGCAGGTTGTTTACAGAATTTGGACTATTAAACAACTTTTATTGCTAGTAACAACAAAGAAATTTTAAAATATAACAGAAAATCGGCCCTCAAAAATCTCAAATACACCACGGGTGCAAATTATATAGCTTTGAACTGTACCTGGCAAATTCAGAGTTTCAAAGATATTCCCTTGCAATCAGTAACAAAATTTAACCTTAATGCACGTATGACAATATGAGCATATAAGCAGAGGTGAATAAGCTACACCCAGAACACTACATTCCATTTCCTATACATATCTATGCACACGCTCACTTTGTTTTGCATCTTTGCCTGTACATGATATGTATGCATATGTGTATAAATACACATATACATATATAATATGCATACACACACGTGTAGATTGATGCATATATGCAAATGTCACCATGGTATCAGCAAAAAAGTGTCTCATGCGCTGATTATCAGAATTCAACTCTCACTAAGAAACAGATTATATACTTAGAAAATCACACCAAAATTTTGGAAGCATTCAATTTAAAGCTATCAACTGCTTTTTTTCATCAGTAACAACTACTTCTCCAAAGAATTAACTGATGTAGAAGCATCAAACAACTCAAATCTTTACCTACAAAATGAGCTGGCTGATAGAAATGAACATCACATCTCATTAATGCTTCTTGTTAATGCTGCAAAACAGCCAATGTTCCACTAACATTCGGCTAAGGCTTGCAATAATCAACAACCAGTTCTAGTAAATAAATTGACTTCAATTTACAACCAAACTCTGTTAGAAACCATCTATTCAGTTCTCTAATACAGTCTTTCGACTAATTTTGCCGGAATAAAACCGATAGAAACGAATGGATATTCAAACTTGGAAGAGTGATATATGTTAAAAGCCTCTATCACTCCAGTTAGGGTCTGTGTACACCTCTGAATTCAGTAAACTTGAAAAAAAAATAGACAAATAGAGTCACTTTCCTATAATAGAACTCCAAGAATTACATGTAACTCCCTATAAAAAAACTGTAATCACTGACCAGCTAGTTCAAGCTTCTGTCTACATCTTGGGTTTATAAGTCCAAACCATCTGCAGCAGAAAATTAGAATCCTAAACATTAGAAACAATGGAAATCTGATAGTAGCAAAACTAACAAAACGAATACCCATTCAGCAGATACAAGTTTTCACAGTACGGCAATTAAGAAAAAATTTCTTTAGAAACAAGAAACACACGTGACCTTGAAAATTTTCTTGTAGCAGTATATGCTCAATAAAACAATGAATATCAAGCTGATGTGTGTACCTTCTCAAAAGTAGATGTACAGGCTTGGAGCAAGCTACTTCGTTCTCCCAAACTCACTGGGTTCTGTTTATTTACTCTTCCACATCCTATTCCTCTGCTTCCTCCACATCCAAAATACCAATAAGGAAAATTCTAAACCTTTTTTTTTTTTGCAAAATCAACAGCATGATTACAAAATCAAGCCCTTTTTACAAAAAAGAAAAACAAAGAGACCAAAAAAGAAGTCTTTTTGAGTACAATGCATTGTTAATGAGTATAATGCATAACCATTATGAGAAAAGATATCCTCCCCAAGAATAATTCAAACTGAACCTCCCAGCTTCATATATGATTCAGAAATTGGTAAAATTAACAATTTCAACATTAACCAAAACTTCGTCAAAACCACAAATAGCACATAAATCAGAAATTTGAAATTCAAAGTTAAGGTAATCTAGAAACATGACCGCAAAATAAAAAGAAAAGACGATAACCTGAAAAGCTAAATCTTTTTCTCCTCCTTTTAGTATTTCCTTGTGATTTTCCTCAATCTATCAAATAGGCGGCAATCTAAGATTATGAGGAGCAGAAAAACTAAAGAAGTAAGCAAAAATTTAAGAAATGAAAAGGAAGCAGAAACTTGAAGGTCCAATCTAGTGTAAAATTGGAAAAATGACAGGGAAATAAATCAAAAAAATTCACAACCTGAAAAGTTAAATTTTTTTTCTCCTTTCAGTAGATATTCCTTCCATTTTTTCAAACTGTTTTCACATTTAAATACTATAACGTTGAGATACCAAGAACCATACACCACATACATTAAACAAAATGACTTCACCAATAATGACTAACCATAGAAAAAAGGGTTTTAAAAATCTCATTTGGCAAATTCACATACAAAGGAAATAAAAGCACAAGTAAGATATTGTCAATAATATTAAAAAAAAAAACCAAAAAAGTATAAATAAACAATTATTATCAGACTAAACTTGGCTGTTTTATCTTACAATTACTACGGGCAGAATCGACTACTATTGTAGGCAATGAACCACATAGTTCAGTTGTCAACTCTGCTTTACCCAACTTGCTCACAAACGCTTCTAGAACAAAGGCCACGTAATTAAATGATAATGCTCAAAATGTAAAAGCATTTGCTAAAAATTTGATCTTCTAGTTTTTAAAACATTAATGAGATGTTATGAAGATTAAGATGCAAAGAAGAAAAGTAAGTTTGTAAAATCTACCCAATAAATTGAAGAAACAAAATGTCCAACCTAACCATGCTATAATAATAACCAAAGTAATAGGCTCTTTGAAGAGCTAAGAGAACTGGAAAAAAGAAAAAAGAAATAACAGGCCAGAAAAGAAATTACCCCAGTCCAAATCATAATTCGAGAGTAGAAAAGGCAAAGAAAATTATAAGGCACAACTATTCAATATGTTATTTTTAACTTTCACAAGCAAATGTATCAACCCCGTGGAAGTTTCTATTCTAACTTCCTAACCTTCAACCAGCACCTTCTTGTTGAGGAAAACAATCTCTTCATAGAATCAAATAAACAAAAGAACGCAATTAGTATATAATCTAAATATGTTAATTTTCCTATCAGCATATAAATTTAAGAATTTAGGGAAGGGAAAAAAATTCTCTTATTCAGGGAAAAAATAAAAAAAAAGGGATAAATCAATTTAAGTCCATTGAAATAAATGAAGTTTTTTTGTCCAAAAAAGAAACCAATAACAAAATCAAAATTTTTGAAAAAAAGGGGGACCCAGTACATTAGGCATTAGAATCCGCCAAGAAATGAGGGAAAAATTACACTACAATCAGAGCGGCAGACAAAATTTGCAAGCCCAAAAATAACGGCGAGAAAAGTGGAGTTGTATAAAGCATTAAGGAAACCACCGGGATAAAGTAGAAGCTTGTAGTGTAAAATTGATGTTGAACCCATAGCCAAATATTTTAAAGCAAAACAGGAAATCTTTTATGACTTCCGGCAAGGGTGATTTACCATACATATAGATTGAAAGCGAAACAAGGTAAAAGATACTTAAAACCATGAAACTTTCCTCAAATTTCTGTAAAATTATTGAGTTTTTATGAATTTTGATGCATTACATGGTTAAAAGAAATTACCTAAGCAACGCAAGAAAACAACCCAAAAATAATGAAATTGAAGTTCACCTCAGGAAATTTCCTTTCCTCTCCAAAAATGGTACAAGAAAGACAGTAGCAGCTGCATAGACCTAGAGAATGAAGAAACCCAAAATTATTTAAGGAAAATGATAAAGCTGAATGAAGAAACAAAGAAAAGCCAAAATTTTGTTTAAGTAGAAAATAAATCAAAATATCATACCAAGAAAATGCGCGAGGCCTTCAAGACCTTCTGGATCACTAAAAGAACCTACTCCAACATTCATTAAATACTAAATCAACAAAAGAAATTAAGCAGGGTGAAAAAGAAGAAACCGGATGGATTGAAATTTAGTACCTTATCAGTTTCTGGATAGCTGATGAGGAGGACCTCGAGAGCGTTGTGAAGAACGATTCTTCGGTAGTCTCTTTTGTCGGTGCGAGGCTTCACGATCCCTCTGACTTCCTGCTCGTTCCTGGCTCCAAACGCCATTTTTCTTCTCGGCAGGAACCAGAGACAGAGAGAGCGAGAAGAAGCTGAGAAGAACAATAAGCTGGAAAGCGAGCAAAACCAACAGAACAGGAGAAGAGAAGGCTCAATTTTCTAAAGTCTGACAGCAAAAGTAAAAAGCTATTGTAAAATGACTATGTTAGACATAAGTTGAAAATATATAGTCCATTCAATGACTATTTTGAAGGAGCAAAATGTAATTAAACAACGCAAAATGAGCTGGCTCCAAAAAATGAACATCACGTCTCATTAATGCTTCTCGTTAATGCTGCAAACACCCAATGTTCCACTAAGAGTAGTTAATTAATTAGTTAAGTTAAGCAGTTAATTAGTTAATTAGTTAACATGCAAATAGTTTGTTAGTTTCGGACAGACAATAGCTTTAGTTAATTAGTTAATTAGATAAATAGAAATTAGTTAATTAGTTAATTAATTAATTAGATAATTAGTTAGTTAATTAGTTAATTAGTTAATTAGTTAATTAGTTTTACATGTAAATAGTTTGTTAGTTTTGGATGGACAACAGCTTTAGTTAATTAGTTAATTAGATAAACAAAAATTAGTTAATTAGTTAATTAATTAATTAGATAATTAGTTAGTTAATTAATTAAGTAGTTAATTAGTTAATTAGTTTAACATGCAAATAGTTTGTTAGTTTCGAACAAACAACAACTTTAGTTAATTAGTTAATTAGTTAAATAGCTAATTAGTTAATTAGTTTAACATGCAAATAGTTTGTTAGTTTCGGATAGACAACAACTTTAGTTAATTAGTTAATTAGATAAACAAAAATTAGTTAATTAGTTAATTAATTAATTAGATAATTAGGTAGTTAATTAGTTAAGCAGCTAATTAGTTAATTAGTTTAACATGCAAATAGTTTATTAGTTTCGGACAGACAACAGCTTTAGTTAATTAGTTAATTAGATAAATAGAGATTAGTTAATTAGATAAATAGAAATTAGTTAATTAGTTAATAGTTAATTAGATAATTAGTTAATAGTTAATTAGTTTAATTATGCAGAAATAGTTTGATTAGTTAATAACTATTAACAATTAGATAATTAGTTAATTAGTTAATAGTTAATTAGATAATTAGTTATTAATTAATTAGATTATTAGTTATTTAGTTAATTAGTTAAACTATGCAGAAATAGTTAATTTAGTGTAATTTTTATTAACAAATGTTTTGTTGGGTTTGATGAAAGTACTAATCACATTCATTTGGTAAAATTAAATCATGTCAGGGGTACTTTAGTAAGTTGACCCACTTTTGCCTATTAAATTGCCTCCAACTTTTGATAGGGGAGGTCAGTGCTATTTCAAAATTGATAGGGGAGGTCAATGCTATTACTATAAAAGTCAGGAGAGGTTTTTGCAATTATCCCAAAAAACAATGCAATCCTCTGCAGAGTGTTTCTCTCACCAACAAGATAAACAATAACCAAGACAGCTAAAATATTCTTCTTATGCGCCAACCTTTCCCTTGAAGAGTGGATAAGCCTGGTTTAAATTCAACACGACGTGAGTTAAGAAAAATTTATGGCAAAGACCTACGATTCAAACCGAAAGCCTGAAATGACATTTACCAGAAGATCAATGTCACAAAATCACAAAGAAAAGTATAGGGATAATTGCAGAAACCTCCCCTAACTTTTATGACCCCCCTATCAATTTTGAAATAACACTGACCTCCCCTATCAAAAGTTGGAGGCAATTTAATAGGCAAAAGTGGATCAATTTACTAAAGTACCCCTGACATGATTTAATTTTACCAAATGAATGTGATTAGTACTTTCATCAAACCCAACAAAACATTTGTTAATAAAAATTACACTAAATTAACTATTTCTGCATAGTTTAACTAATTAACTAAATAACTAATAATCTAATTAATTAATAACTAATTATCTAATTAACTATTAACTAATTAACTAATTATCTAATTGTTAATAGTTATTAACTAATCAAACTATTTCTGCATAATTAAACTAATTAACTATTAACTAATTATCTAATTAATTAATTAACTAATTAACTAATTTCTTTTTATCTAATTAACTAATCTCTATTTATCTGATTAACTAATTAACTAATTATCTAATTAACTAATTAACTAAAGCTGTTGTCTGTCCGAAACTAATAAACTATTTGCATGTTAAACTAATTAACTAATTAGCTGCTTAACTAATTAACTACCTAATTATCTAATTAATTAATTAACTAATTTTTGTTTATCTAATTAACTAATTAACTAAAGTTGTTGTTTATCCGAAACTAACAAACTATTTGCATGTTAAACTAATTAACTAATTAACTGCTTAACTAATTAACTAATTAACTAAAGCTGTTGTTTGTCCGAAACTAACAAAATATTTGCATGTTAAACTAATTAACTACTTAACTAATTAACTAACTAATTAACTAATTAACTAATTAATTAAAGCTGTTGTCTATCCGAAACTAACAAACTATTTACATGTTAAACTAATTAACTAATTAACTAACTAATTATCTAATTAATTAATTAACTAATTAATTAATTTCTATTTATCTAATTAACTAAAGCTATTGTCTGTCCGAAACTAACAAACTATTTGCATGTTAAACTAATTAACTAATTAACTGCTTAACTAATTAACTAATTAATTAACTAACTAATTAACAAACTATTTGCATATTAAACTATATGCAGTACGCATTACCTATTTAAAGTATCGGCTCTTTATAGGTATTTTACTTTCAAACATTTAATTTATGATAAAAACATGAATGTTTGTAAGTAAAATTCAACAAGTGTTACAAAAAATATCAATATTCTTACTTTCAAACATTTAATTTATGGCCCTATGCCCCTCCATTTTTGTAAGAATATTACTGTAACACTTGTTGAATTTTACTTACAAACATTGATGTTTTTATCATAAATTAAATGTTTGAAAGTAAAATACCGATAAAGAGCCGATACTTTAAATAGGTAATGCGTACTGCATATAGTTTAACATGCAAATAGTTTGTTAATTAATTAGTTAATTAGTTAAGCAGTTAATTAGTTAATTAGTTTAACATGCAAATAGTTTGTTAATTTCGGATAGACAATGGCTTTAGTTAATTAGATAAATAGAAATTAGTTAATTAGTTAATTAATTAATTAGTTAATTAGTTAATAGTTAATTAGTTTAACTATTAACTAATTAGATAATTAGTTAAGCAATTGTCAAGCAAATAATAATTGTCAAGCAAGAAGAGGGCAAAATTGGAAGAAATTTCTTATCTCACTTCTACAAAAGCTGTCAAGGAGGTTTCTGCAACAAATTGTTACTGTTCAGGGGAGTTGAATGCAATTTCTAAACCTAGAGGGGAGGTCAGTGCAAATGTCAGAAATCTCAGGGAGGTTTCTACAATTATCCCAAAAGTATAAACTTTTTCTTCCTCAAGTCGAATGACACGAGCAAAGCTAGTCAACATTCAAAAGATGCCTTAAAAAAATTTAAAAAACAGCAAATGTCTACACACAAAGGAAAACTTTTCTTTTCCACATCATTTGCCCCCTCTGGAATTTTCCCCCTTTTTGGCTTTAGTTTTCTTATGATTATGAGCACAGCTAAAAATACTCAGCTATAGTGACAACATAATTTTTAATGTAATAACCCGTAATAATTCACTATTATTACAAAATCATTGAAACTAGACTACAACCGCCAACTGCTGTATCTCAAGCTATAGTTTTTTAAAATAAATGAAAAAACAGCTAAGCACAGAATAATTCCCAATCATTCGTACCATATTATGTAAAAAGAAAGAAGCAATTAAAAAATTTGAACTTTACGAGAATTACTACCAATCCAGAAATAAAAACTTCTCAAATAAAGAATACCGCATCTACCACCAAAGATTCACGAGGACTTGTGAAGCTTAAGAAAATAAACAAGAAATACAATCCAGCATTAAAGGACTAAAAAACAATTTTTTAGATAACTAAGCACATATTTACACGAATGATGGTGCTGATGTAAACAAACACAATGGGCTTACAAATTTATTATTGATTCTGTTGGGCTTCTGCTGGGAAAGGAGTGAAGGTTGAGAGTGTGAATTCTCAGCGTGTAGAAAATAGAAATGTGAGTATAAGAACCCTAATTTGACGGAGAGAGCGCGGTTATTTAAGCGTCCTTGTTGCTGACATACCCTCAAATTTGGCTTGATTTCTGGTTGTGTCCCCGTATATTTACTGTGCCCTTTGTAATGGCTCCCGAACATTTTTTTAAAAATTTTTATTATTACATTAAAGGTGCTTGTTTTGTTTCTAGGGAAATGGCGGAGGAAAAGTATGAAAAGTGTAAGTGTGTATTTTTCTTTTTTCTTGAGCTTGATATTTTAACTTAGCTTTATACTACAAGAGAGTTATAAATTCTTATGTCCTTTCGTAGGTGGAGTATAAATATATAATAAGTGATTCATTCAGAGTTATAGGAGCATGTAACTTAAAAAAAATCGATTTATCGATCGAGTTTGATTCGAATTTTGGAATTCTCGAAATCGGTAAAGCGAAAAACGAAAAGGAAATCGAATTTTTTTATTTTCAAAATATACGAATTTGGTTTGAATTTGAGAATATGTTTTCTCAAAACAAAATTTTGGATTTCGAATTCACAATACGAAATCGGAATTGAATACCTAATTTGATATTCAATTTCAAATTCGTATGTGTTATATATATTAATATATATGTAATATAAAAATTTATATTATATAATAATAAATCTAATTATAATAATATTACAAAACAATACAATAATAAGTCTTATTAAGTTAGTTGTATATTATGTTATAACTATAAACTTATATTATACAAAAGTTGGCATTTAGTTTAGCAAAACTTATATATAATTACAGAATTAGGTGAAATCAGTTATTACCGACTTTCAAATTGCATTCGGAATTTGTGAAATCGAATTTGAAATCGATCGAATTTTCTAGTGTCCAAATTTTCAAAAATTTCAAATTTAAAATTCCAAATTACCGAATTTGATTTCGATGCACACTCCTGTTGAGTAATTTGAACAAAAAAAAGAGCTTATGCATAGAGGTAAGCTATACTAGTTTGATTTT